TTTACACTTTTTACATATATACTTAAATATATATGTATGTATATATATATAAATCTACTTAGTTACTACTATAATTAATTAAAAATTAAACTAATTTCTATTTTTCTGTTTTCATTTGTTAAAAATTAATAGATAGATATACGCTATATGTAATGGGGCCCCCTTGTTCGAGGGGCCCCAAGAACACAAAAGTTAATAAATCACTTATTTAATATTTTTTCTTTATAATTATTATTTTTTTTTATTTTAATTTTTATATTTTTTTTGTCAATATTATTTTTTACGTTTCGTTTTATTTATACTATCATTATCATTATCATCATTATTATTATCATCATCGGATTCTTCGTCTTGATTCATATGGTATCGTTTTTATTTCCTCTTGTGTTGTGTTTTTGTTTTGTTTTTTTAAACTTTTAAAATAAATTCACTGCACTCAAAATCATATAAATAAAAAATGTGTTTGTTTATAAAAAATATGTGACGTTAATTTTCGTCTACGTATCTAAAACGATTTTTTTTTTAAACGTGGAATTAGCGATTGAAAATAATCGATAATAATAATAGTAATGAAAAAACGTGAAATTGATTTTAATGGTAACATGATCATTTTACCATGCTGCCCTCTCTTCCCTTTTTTTTTTTTGTTGGTGGTGTTTTTTATATGTTTCGCATCGCGTTAAAAAACCGTTTCTCCTTCCACGTTCTTAAAAACATAAAAACGCACTAAGTTAATTAATTTCCGTTTAAGTATTAGTAGTAATTACTCGTTATAAAAAAAAAATTTTCTTTTTTTTTTATGGAAATTTAATTACACTTTGAGTTGAGTTGAATTTTTTGGGATTAAAATTTAACCTTAAGCCGCCCCTGAATTATACAAGACACAACAAATTTTTTTTTTTTTATTTATATTTTTAATTAGTAAATATTATAATAATTTTATGTAATGACGTCACTAATAAGAAAATAACAACAAAAATGATTTTTTTTTCCTCCCTCGTGATACGTCAATAATTTTTTTTTTAATTTCAACTATATCCTCATCATTATCATTATCATTATCATCATTATCATCACTATCACTATCATCATCATCATCATCAACATCATTATTAAAATCAGGTAGAAAATGAAAACAATTTTTTTTTTTTTTTAAATCAAAACAAAAAATTTAAATATTTAATTTTCTTTTTTTTTTTTGTTAAAATTAACCGAAAGAATTAAAAAGCGAGAAAATGATTTTCTTTTTCTTTTTTTTTTAATCAACCGAACGAAGGAATTATTAATTAAAAAAAGGAAAAAAAGGAAGGAAAAAAAAGAAAAGAATGAATTTAAAAAAAAAGGAAAAATCATTTCCTTCATCACGAATCATTTTTCCTCAACACAATTTTTTTTTTTATTTTTCCACCTTTTTCTCCTTGTTTGTTTTTTGTGTTTTTTATCTCATCTCATTTACTTATCCTCCCGCCATTTTTTTTTCTTACAATTTCCCTCTTTCAGATTGAAATGAAAATGAAAATGAAAAAAAAAAAGGGTAAATAAAGTCAATTTAAATCACAAAAGATATTAAAATACTCTGATGACGTAATTTCTTTTTAGCTTAGCAACGGTTCATCTATCTACCTACACGTTTTCCATTTCTACTTTTTAACTTTTTTTTTTTTTTAAAAAAAAAGTGACATTTAAACTAAAAAAATCATTTTTTTTATTTTTATTTTATTTTAAGTTAATGGTGGTAAATTTCATAACGGTGGGAGGAAAAAAAGGGAGGAGACGGTGGGGATGGGGGGTGCGTAAAAACATTTTTGACGTGAAAAAAAAAAATTAATAAAAACAAATAAAAAAAAAAAAAAAAATGGGAAAAATTTATTATCAAAAGGAAAAAAATATTCAATTTGATTATCTCTTTTATCCCTTTCCCATCTCTCTCCCTCTCTCTCTCTCTCTCTTTCTCTCCCCGCAACCCAAAAAAAAATACGGAACGCGAAACAAAAAAGTTTTGGGAAACAAAAACAAAAAATAATTTTTTTTTTTTAGAAAATAAATTCAAACCGAAAAACAAATGAAACGTCTCCCTTTCATCCCCCCCTTCCCTTTTCCCTCTTCCCTAAACTCCCATCATTCCCGAAACAACAACAACAGGATAAAAAAAAAAAAAGTCGAAAATGAATTCTGTCGGGAGTCAGAAAAAAAAATTTTTTTTTTGAAATTTCAAGTTTTATTTTTAGTTTACGTTGAAATTTTTTTTTTTCAACGTAAAAAAATAAAAAGTTTCCAAATGGTTTTTTTTTAAGCCCCCCCTCTCCCCTCCGAACCCCGCAAGTAAAAAATTAAAAAACAAAAAACTTCTCGTTATTATTTTAAATAGAATTTTTAATAATAATGATGACGACGGTGATGATGATAATAATAATAATAAAAGCAAATTAAAAAAAAGAAATTTATAAATAATTTTTTTTTTTTTTTTTCAATTTGTTACATTTCAACGCCGCTCTGACGTTTGTAACAAAAAGAACAACAACAACAACAAAACCGGAAACGGCAACAGCATTTTGATGTATTTCATTACTATAACCACGTCATTGTGTAACGTAAATAAAAAATTTTATTATCATTATTATTTAAATAAAAGAAAATTTTTATTATTATTTTTTTTTCGCCAGAAACCACGTGATACTACACGTGTGCGTCTGTGTTTTGTTTTTCATTTATCGTTTTATTCTATTGTCTGAACAAACGTTATCGTTAACGTTGTTTCTTGTCGTATATTGGAGGAAAAAAAAAGAAAACAAACGATAACGAATATTTTTTTTTTTGTTTTTCTTTTCAGTCAAAAAAATTTTAAATTTTCAAATCATCAATTTTTTTGAATTCCATTAAAAAAAAAAAAAGGTCGATAACGTCAGTCAAATAGTTAAAACGTAAAAAATATATTTTTTTCTCTCTCTCTTCCGTTTCCGCTTTTCCAAATTCCACCCATTTTCCACCTTTTAAAAAAATTTTTGACTTTTTATCAAAAAATTTTTTTTTCCCTATTTACAGTGAAATGATTAATCAATTTTTTTTTGTTTAATGCACTGAAAATCATTTTTGAAAACCTTTTTATTATTATTATTATTATTATTAAGATTTCAAAAAAATCTACATTAAAGTCTATCTATCTATCATTTTGATTAATTATGTCGTCTGCTTTTATTTATAACGAATATTTATGTATATAAACATGTATTCACGTGAGATAATTTATTTTATTTAAATAAAAGAAAAATAGATAGTCAGTCATATTATTTATGAAAAATTTAAATTTGTTATGGAAAACGACGTGGCATTAGAATAAATATAAATTAAACATTTAAATGTATTTTATTTAAATTCCCGAATGAATGAATCATTCGATTCTTTTTTTTAAATTCGTTCGTAAAAAAAAATTTTTTTAAAATTCGATTCGAAAATTATTTTTTTGATTTTTTGGAGGGGGTGGTTGTGAAAGGGGTGAGAGAAAATTTTTACCCGGAACCGGAAATAAAACGTATATGGTTCGTTTACGCGCGCGTACACAATTAATATTGCAACACGTTTTATAATTTTTACGTTAAATTAATACTTTTAAAAACGCGTCACGCGTAATAAAAATGTTACGACGCCATATTAATTTATTATTATTATTATTTTGGTAAAAAAACGATACCTGAATAATCGGACGATCTATAATATTAATAATAATATTTCTTATCGTTTATCTTTTTTTTTTTTCAAGAGAAAAATTTTCTGTTGGAACATTAAATAATGTTTTTTTTTTTTACTCGTATCTCTCTCTCTCTCTCTGTCTCTCTCTTTCTCTCTTAATTTCTACTAGTTTTAATTAATTAATAAAAAAAAGAAATGTAATAATAAATGAACAGTCAAGTTGTACCGAAAAAAAAAACAGTTACTTTAGTTAATTATCTTTTTTTAATTAGAATTTAATTAATCCGAAATAACAAAATGGCTGACAAAACAATCGAATTTTACTTTTTCGTTCGTGAATCGAAAAAAAAATTTCCCCCCCACCCCGAGGCAAGAATTTAAAACAGTGACTTAAGCAAATGTGCGTGCATGAGTGCGCGTATTTTTTTTTTAATTAACTGAAAATCACAGCAGTACCGTATCAAGTTAAATAAAAAAAATCATTCTTTTTATTTCCGATTCGTTAAAAACCAAAAAGAAGAAAAAATTTAAGAAACGAGTTTTCGACAAACAAACAAACAAACGACCAAAACACGTCGATTTTCCTTCATAAATTTTTTTTTTTTTTTAAAACTCTTTTAATTTATTGTTTGTTGAATTATTTGTTTTTTTGCATTCGAACAAACAAAATTTTGCAAAAGTTCCAACAATTTTTTTTTTTTACCATCATAAGAAATATTTAGAACAACAACAACCACAACAATAATAATAATAATATTTTTTAAAGTTTTTTGTTAATTGTTTTGTCGTTCGCATAAGTTTCTCCCCCCTTTTTTTTTAAACATAAACCGTGATGAAATATTATTATTATTATTATTTTCATTATTATTATTATTATTGTTAGTATTAGTATTATTAGAATTTATTTTTTTTTGTTTTTTAAATAACGAATTTAAAAATAAAATCAAATCAAATCGATTTCGTGCGT